GTCTTGAACCCGCGGGCTCAGGCAATCCACTCACCTCAGCCTCCCAAAGGCGCAGGGTTACAGGCTGAGCCACCGAGCCCGGTTTGGGATTTTGTTTTATTCACCACTGCAACCGTAGTACTTAAAATAGTACCTGGCACACAGTAGGCACTCAATAAATATTTTTTTACTGATTGATTATAAAGTGCTACAACCTGCTTGAATATCATTGCTGTCAAAATTTTAAAAATAACTTTTATGGAAGGCTGAGGCGGAAGGATCACTGGAGCCCAGCAGGCGAGGCTGCAGTGGCCGCTCCCGGCCACTGCACTCCAGTCTGGGTGACAGAGTGAGACTCCAACTCAAAAAAAAGAAAAGAAAAGAGTGAAACATTTAAGGTATTGAAAGAAGAAAGCTACCAATGTGGAGTTCCGTATCCAGTGAAATTATCCTTCAAAAGTTAAGGAGACTAAAAACTCTCAAACAAAAATTGAAGAAATTTGTTGCCAGTAGAACTACCTTGCAAGAAAGAAGGAAAATTATACTTAAGTGTTAAATTATACTTAAGAAAATTTGAATCTACATCAAGGATGGAAGAATGTTATAGAAGAAATAAGTAAAAGTGAAATAACATAAAAAAAACTTTTATTAAACTTTTACCATTATATCATAATGATTTTTTTCCATTTATAAGATATGTATTCCAATGCCATATCAATAAAGCAGAGATGACTTTTAAAATATTTCATGTACACTTAAAGACTATTTGATGTTGCAAAGTAGCTCCTTAAAGTAACAACTTAAATATATTGCTTTATTGATATAATGATGGTGGTGGTCGTGGTGGTCGTGGCAGCAATGGCAACAGCAAACTCATACTGAGTACTATGTGCTGGGCACTGCTGAATGCTGTCCATGAGTTAACTCAGAATTCTTACAACAATCCTATCAGGTTGGTCCCATTATTATTCTCAATTTACAGATTAAAAATAAAAAACAAAAAAAACAGAGAGAGCTGCGTGCAATGGCTCACCCCTGTAATTCCAGCACTTTGGGAGGCTGAGGGAGGAATATCGCTTGAGGTCGGGAGTTCAAGACCAGACAATATAGCATGACCCCACCTCTAAATAAATAAACAAACAGGTTTTTAAAAATAATTTTAAAAAAAGAAAAAAAACAGAGAGGCTGAGAGGTGTGATTTGGCATACACAGCTAGTAAGCAGCAGATAATGATAGAGGAATTCCTCAAATACTAATTTCATTTATTTTCATAATTCTACTCCTTGGAAATTTTAAAACTAATATAAAATGCTTAAGTTTTGCTCTAGGTTATATAATGTAGCTAATAATATAGTTAAGTCTTTTATAAGTCTCTTGGTTATAAATCAATCAGTGACCTCATTAAGAAATACTTACTGCTGGTATAGAGAATTTTTGCTAGGGTCATTTCCAGGGTAGCCCCACGGCTTCCTTCACCAATCATGTGCAACTTCAAGGTTTAAAAAGAGGGCAGAAAAGTAAATCTTCATATAATGATCTTACAAACACACATGTATTTGTATGAAACAAATATGTCATCTTTGCCTTACAAATATTTTAGCTATAACAACTAGTACATATGCACTATTGCATGGGTATTTTAGGTTAATACGTTTTGAGGGCAATGCCCGTAAATCTGGGATTCTTAAGTACTGTTATAATACTGCATATTATGTACACATAAATTCATACTTCAAGAAATATTTGACACAAAACTCAATTTAAGATTATCAAGCGCCGGGCTCAGTGGCTCAGCCTGTAATCCCGTGCCTTTGGGAGGCTGAGGTGAGTGGATTGCCTGAGCCCGCGGGTTCGAGACCCTCCTGGGCAACTTGGCGAGACCTCATCTCTACAATAAATCAAAAAAAAAAAAAAAAGATTATCAAGCATGATATGTCTTCACCTATATTGTCCACTAAAATCATTATTCTTACAGAGGTACTAAGCAGGTCCACATAATAATGAGAATAAATATTGGTATAATAAAAATATTGAGAAATTACAAAATAGTAGCCAACCTCATCTATAACAACCAGGCCCAGACTGCCAATTCTTCCCGTTTCAATCAAGGAGTTTACCAAGCTGTGTCCTTTCTCAATAGTGGCGATATATAACGATTTCTTTTCCCTTCGTTTAGTTGGAGGAAATCTTCCTTTGCTCCCAGCATATTCTTCAACGAAGAAACCAAGTTCTATACCAAAACTTGACAAACCTGAAATCTGAATATTAGTTAAAAATAAGCCAGATAAAAAACACAGATAAATAAAAACTCTAATTATTAAGTGCTCATGGGGATTCAAAAAAGCTAACATAGTGCTGAATACCTGTCAGCTAAGAAGTGCCATAATATATCCATCTTTGCAAATAAATGCAACTTTTAAAATATACAACATGCAGTCAGGCATGGTGGCTTATGCTTGTAATCCCAGCACTTTGGGAGGCTGAGGCAAGAGGACTGCCTGAGCCCAGGGGTTCAGCCTAGGCAACATGGCAAGACCTCATCTCTAAAAGAAATCAAAAAATAGCTGGGCATGGTGGTGCATGCCTGTAGCTCCAGTTACTTGGAAGGCTGAGGTGGAAGGATCATCTGAGCCAGCAGGTCGAGGCTGGTGGCTGTGAGCATGCCACTGCACTCCAGCCTGAACAACAGAGTAAGACTCCAACTCGAAAATAAAAAAAAATATAATACAAAAATAAGTGTCAATGGTCTCCTTTGATGTCAAAAACCATCAGAATACCTTACTTATTTTAATACAATCATTGACCAGTTTCTCCTTTAAAAAACTAGGCTATCAATAGGACATTTAAGATGGAGTTTAATCTATCAGTTTAGAAAATGAAACTGTCTACAACAAGTAATTAGCATTTGAAGAGATTTTAGGTAAAGATTCTATACTGCTTTTATACATCCTAAAAATATTAATTCTCCATCATTAAGAGGTACTTCTTAAATAAAAAGTTATGTTTATGCTAGCTTTTAGATCTTAAAATAAAAGTATTAGCAAATAATATTTGTTTTAAAAAAACACACCTTTTCTTGGACAATTGCCACATATGGAAGGATCATTAAGACATCTTTCTGTCGGCAAAGTAGTTCTTGCAGCATTAAAATTTCAGCCACAAGGGTTTTCCCACCACTTGTTGGCAAGGAATATATTAAATTTTTTCTTTCTTGCACAGAACTCAATGTTAAACAAGCATGTTGCCATTCTATGGAATTAAAAAAAAAAAAAGCATTACTGGAATTATTTTCTCCTTCTATACTTTTTTTATTTTTTGAGTTGGGATCTCATTCTGTTGCTCAGGCTAGAGTGCAGTGGCACAATCATGGCTCACCACAGCCTTGACATCCAGGACCTGGGTGATCCTTCCACCTCAGTCTCCTGTGTAGCTGGAACTGCAGGCACACTCCACCATATATGGCGAAGTTTTTTTATTTTAACGAAGTCTCACTATGTTGCCTAGGCTGGTCTCAAGTAATCCTCTCCCCTTAGCCTCCCGAAGTGCTAGAATCATAGACTTGAGCCACCACACCTGGCCTCGTTCCATACTTTTAATGTCAAGAAAGTTTTCTAAGAAAAGATTAAATCCCTTCCTTTGTGACAATCTTCTCATAAGGGTAAATGTATTGGTTTGATGCATAAATTCATAGTGCTTGTTTTTGGCAAGGCGACAATGTGCTGTTGGCAGTTTATCGTTTGTCATTTATCATTCGGAGTGACAATGCTGTGCTTGTGAATATGCCTTGCATTTTGCAGATTTGAATTAAGTCAATGCTATGTGTTGGCTAAAGAAGGAGTGTCCAGTGGAAAAAAACAAGCACTATAGACATCTTCTTCTGTTTAACAGAGGAATAAAGGCAGCAGAAGCAGCTTGAGATATTTGTGCCATCCGGGAGAATGCCCTCGGGGAAATCACAGCAAGAAAATAGTTTTGTTGTTTTAAAGATGGTCACTTTGACCTGAGGGATTCTCCAAATTCAGGAAGACCATTGGGTTTGGTTGAATACCATTTAGATGGTTTAATCCACAATGATCTGTGTCACTCAACCTGAAAAATGGCAAATGTGATGACCTATCACTAATCAACTATCATGTGACATTTACTTACGTTCCATGGGCAAGCAAAAAACGCTATTAACTTATGCATCAACCCAACAATTATAATTGACGTTCTTTGTCAAAAATCCCCAGGTTAACCAGGTGCAGCGGCTCATGCCTGTAATCCTAGCACTTTGGGAGGTAGAGTCCAGGGGTCTGAGACCAGCCTGGGCAACTTGATGAGACCTCATCTCTACAATAAACCAAAATATTAGCCAGGTATGGTGGCACGTGCCCATGGTTCCAGCTACTTGGAAAGATGAGGTGGAAGGATTGCCTGCACCCAGCAAGTTGAGGCTGTGGCAGCTGTGAGTGTGCCATTGCACTCCAGCCTGGGTGACAGAGTGAGACTTCAACTCAAAAAAAAAAGAATCCCCATGTGCAGTGCGCACAGCCAGGGAGGGTCTATTCAGGTCTAATTGGCATGTGGGCAATTAGCCTACCTATTCACTTGCTGCAGACTCAGGTCTGAGGCCCTAGCAGGGCAGTAGCAGCCTGGTGGATGAGGAGCGTCCCCTGGGACATCAGAGGAGCAGAAGGACATTTCAAGGACCTATGTGAACTTTAAGTCTTCCTCTTATATCCTGCCAGGGATTACACAAGCTTCCCTTCCTCATTCACCCAAAAGTCATCTTAGAGAAAAACAGTTTCACTTTTGTGGGAGATCTATGAGGTTTTACATAAACCAATAAAAGCTTCAACTAGTTCTCAAGGGAACCTCAACTTTGAATGGCCTGAAAACCATTTTAAACTAAGAAGACTATTTAAACCATAAGAGACTAGGACTCTTCACCAGCACATCTAGGATTCCCATAGCTTGGCAAAGTGGGATTCAGGAAAACTGATCAGATCCAAGACATTGTGTGAAAACTAGTATTAACTGCTCTGAAGATTAATTTTACAATGTAGATCATCAAAAGTCTTCAGAATGTGAATCAGTATCTAATCACTAAAAAAATAGGCAGAAAATATATAAAACATTTCACAGGAGAAAGAAATGAAAATGGCCAATAAATACATGAAAAGATGTTCAACTCTTCTCTGTTGGATTGGTGAAACAAATAAACATAGAAAATAATCAGCAAAAACAAACAACAGACAAAAAAGCTCCCCCACACAAGACCCAAAGCTGACAGTAGGGAGAAACAGTCACTCTCATGTATGGTAGAACATGAACTGCAACGATCTTTCTATAAAGTGGCCTAGCAGTGTCAAGCACAAAACTGCAAGTGGCCTTTGATTTGCCAGCATTACTTCTAGAACTCCACTACACAGCAAAACTCAAGACATTTAAGATTATGTGCACAAGCCAGACGCAGTAACTCATGCCTATAATCCCAGCATTTTGGTAGGTAGAGGCAAGAGGAGTGCCTGAATTCAGGGGGTCGAGACCAGCCTGGACAATTTGATGAGACCTTGTCTCTACAATAAATCAAAAAAGTAGCTGGGTATAGTGGGGCACGCTTGCGGTTCCAGCTACTTGGAAGGCTGAGGCAGAAGGATTGCTTGAGCCCAGCAGGTTGAAGCTGCGGTGAGCCAAATTCATACCACTGCACTCCAGCCTGGGTGACAGAGTGAGACTCCAACCCTCCTCTACCCACAAAAAAAAATGTGTACAAAGTTCATCACATCATTGTACATGACAAAGTGCCAAGAGAGTGGGGGGATAAAGGCTGAATGAATTATCGAACAATCATACAATGCGATTCTTTGCAGCTTAAAAAGGGGGGGGGGTGTTAAGAAGAATCTAGATATAGATTCAATATAGTTAAGTAAAAAAGTAGACCCTAAATGTGTTCTAGATATCATACACCCAATTGTGTACAAATATTAGAAAATGATATATACATAGAAAAGGTAAGCTTGAAAGTATTTTTAAAGAATTAAATTAAAAAGACTAATTGGATATATCACAAAGGCACTTGTAATAGTTATGCCCAAATGAGAGAGTTATAAGTTTAGGAGTGGAGGTGAGAGAACTGCCTGAGCCCAGGGGTTCGAGACCAGCCTGGGCAAGTTGGCAAGACCTTGTCCCTACAATAAATAAGTAAATAATTAGCCAGGCATGGTGGCATGTGCCTGTAGTTCCAGTTACTTGGAAGGCTGAGGTGGAAGGATTGCGTGAGCCCAGCAGGTCGAGGCTGCAGTGGCTGTGAGCGTG